TACTGGTAGATCTAGCTTTAAACACATATTGTTGGCCATGAAACATAATTATAACAGCTGTAAATGAAACATATTTTATTAAAATAATTGTAATATTAATTTTGCTCAAAAAAATTATTTGTGTGAATTTAAAGACCTGGTGACTATTTTAATATAAACCTACCAGCATTATAAGGCTTAAAACAACCAATTTATAAAATTAAAACAACCAATTTATAAATGAATTTTTTTTTTCTAAATAATTGTTACCTGAGTATATCAAGAAAATCTGAAAGTGAACAGAGGTGAAAACAAAATGACAAAATATGATTATGACCATTGTAGTATAAATTGTGCCAGAAAAGTGAACTTTTGATAACGCTTTTTTGTTTGTTTGTTTGTTTGTTTATTTGTTTTGTATTTATGCTGATTTTAACACATTTTTTGGTCATATTTCAGTTGTCAGTCCATCTAACTGACATTCTTGGATTATAACTTACCAGGAATTTCACTCCGAAAGTATTTTGCAAGTATTCTTTTTTTAAATGGTTAAGTAATAAAAAATTGATGCAAAAAAATTCTCCAATTCATACAAATACACATCTAGGAATTAAGTTTTTTAATGGACATTAGCAGGAATTTTGTGCTGAACAGCTGTGGTTGTTAAGTCACCCACATTCTAGAGTGAATCTCTGGAGAGAAGAAACATGATAGTTTCAAAATGCCCTTTAAAGTGCCCTTAAATAACCTCGGGGAATTGTTTGCAGTGGTTCCCATCTGTTTTCCCTATAGGTGCTGGTACCAGGTTTCGATTCCTTGCTATAATTCATTGATTACCGAACGGTTACAAATATTTGCTAGTTTTCTGTTTGCCATTATCCACATGTCATTTTTCCCAGTCTCATGCTTAGAGTCTATTCTGTGCATTGTGAAACTGCATGAAAATTTAATTGCGGAATTAAAAAAAAACAACAAAAACGGAAAAGACAGAGAGAGCTTTGACACTGAGCTTCGGCATTAAAAATACATGTGTCTCGATCGTCTAATCTATAGTAATCAATACAGGTGTTGTAAAAACAAATAAACAATGTACATAATTATATAAATATTCTTACATATTTTTCACTTTCAAACGTTTTGATAATTATTTTGATCTTCTTTTTTTTTTTAAATTTTAAAAATGGTTTGTTAATTTGTATCCAAATTTCATAACAAGGAATTATAGGTTTATACATTGGGTCATATGATAGTACTTCTCAATAAATCATTACTGGTAGTTTTGGATATGTTTTAAGTAAAACTATTGAAAATTATGCAATTGTAGTTTGAAGGATATACCAGGATACTATGTACTATGTAGTTGAATTAAAATACGGCGAAAATAAATGGTATAGAAATATTTGTTTTAAGATTTAAGCTGAATTTAAAATTAATAAAATTTGATAATTATTTTTGTATGATTAAATTGTAAATATTCATGTAAAAAATAATTTTAGCAGTTGAATGAATCTCAGACAACAAAGTTTGGTTCCTAAATTTTTTATACTTGGTACTATTCATATAATGTATTGTTTAAAATAGTTATGTAACATTTTTTTGTATTATGATGTACATTATTACAATATGGCACAATCAGGGGGGGGGGGGGGGGGGTTTGGAAGGTGAAAAAAATAAGATTATAAAGTGTTGGTTTTGTGCTGGTTATTGTTTGATGTGATGGCCTTTCAATGCAGGTGTGACAGTAGTGGTCTGTCACCTCTTCAGTTGACAGTTTTTATGAAATGAAATATTCATAGAATAAGGTTAAAAATTGTTATCCTGTAAAAAAGATTAAACAAAAATATTTTAAAAATTGTTATCCTGTAAAAAAAAATTTAACAAAATTGTGTTTGTAACTCTTTTTATGTTTTTATACTATTTTTTCCATGTTTTTTCATAATTATGTATCAAAACCTCTATAAAGATTAAATCAACTCCCTTTGTGTTAACTTTGTTTAACACCATGACTGTTTATTAAAGTGGCTATATTTTAATTTCATTTTCTCACCTTTGAAAGGAGAATAAGAAGTAATTTCTTAAAGGTCTCTTGACGACAAAATCAGAGAGATTTGAAGTTGCTTTTATTGATCTTTAACGCGTGTGCCTGATTGCCTTAGATAGCGGAGAAAATAATAGCCGTTTTAGCTGTAAAATGCTGGTTAAGTTAATTTGAACGATGGTAGAAAATATTGTAACAAAGGCTGATACCCATTGTTACCGTCTTGTCGGTTTTGAAGTAATTTTCCGACCAATTGACACTGACTGCCGTTTTAAGTATTGTTAAAATGTGGAGGAAAATAGGAAGATGGGGGTTATTATATTAACACGAGCTGATCTAATTGAAAGAAATTCTAATCTTACAGATTTGGTATGATACCTTCGTAGCTTTTGTTAGAAATCTAAAAGTAATTTTCTGAAGTCGCACATGACTGAGTCATAGAACAACGTAAACATAACAGTTTTGAAATTCTAATAATTGTTCCTTTTTTAAGAAAAAAAGTCAGTGCGAATGCAATATCTGCTGTGAGATGGTTTCTAAAAACTTAGGGTATTATTACTGTTTCAATTTTAAAAAACGCGAAACTTGTGAATGAAATAAATCAGTAAAGCAGATGTTAACGTGGAAAATATTGTTTTAGTTAAAGTTTAATTATCATCTAACAATAGTGCTGGTTATTAGTCATCTGATAACAGTGTTGACCTAAAAATTTATGTGGGACGAGATTATTACAGAAAGCTTTAAATAGACGAGGTTGTTTCTGTTCTTACTTTTAAATAAATATTACAATTAAAAAAAAAGGCTTGACTTCAAAGTGAGATTAAAAGTTGTGTTTAAAATGGAAACTTACATCAACAGATTTCAATTTAAATAAAAAGAATTTTTTTTTGTTTTTGTTATGGTGTCGTAGTTTCTTAAACATATTTTTCACTTGGAAATCAGTGAAATTGTATATGATAAACAATTTAGAAAAAAAAAAGTACATTGATATTACATCACTATGAAAGGATTTATTCTCTCACCAGGTAATGTTAAACTTCTAATTTTAGTATGTTGTTAAATAGATAAATAAATAATTAATCCTTTACTTTCTAGATGCAATAGATTCTGACCATGACAACAGTGCAGACCATAATCAGCCGCAATTGTCCAATTATGGTCTGCACTGTTGGTTATTCAGTCTCTGCCATTCAGTCATATTTTGAATAGCACATCTATGTTGTCTGTTTTCTCCATTCAGTCAGTACATAGTTTTCTTTTGTCTGGTCAGATGGGTGCTTATTTTTGATCTTGTTAGACAGGGTCTTATTTTTGCCTTGGTCAGATAGGTGCTTATTTTGGCCTGGTTACATGGGGTCCTGTTTCTGGCCTGGTCAGATGGTGTCTTATTTTTGGCCTGGTCAGATGGGGTCTTATTTTTGATTTGGTTATACAGGGTCTTAGTTTTGCCTTGGTCAGATTGGTGTTTATTTTTGGCCTGGTTAGATGGGGTCTTATATCTTGCCTGGTCAGATGGTGTCTTATTTTTGGCCTGGTCAGATTGGGTCTTATTTTTGGCTTGGTCAGATGTGGTCTTATTTGTCTGGCCTGGTCAGATGGTGTCTTATTTCTGGCCTGGTCAGATGGGTCTTATTTCTGGCCTTGTCAGATTGGTCTTATTTTTGGTCTTGTCAGATGGGGTTTTATTTTTGGCCTGGTCAGATGGAGTCTTATTTTTGGTCTGGTCAGATGGGGTTTTATTTTTGGTCTGGTCAGATGGGGTCTTATTTTTGGTCTGGTCAGATGGGGTCTTATTTTTTTTGTCTGGTCAGATGGGGTCTTATTTTTGTCCTGGGTAGATGGGGTCTTATTTTTGGTCTGGTCAGATGGGGTCTTATTTTTTTTGTCTGGTCAGATTGTGTCTTATTTTTGGTCTGGTCAGATGGGGTCTTATTTCTGGCCTGGTCAGATGTGTCTTATTTTTGGTCATGTCAGATTGGGTCTTATTTCTGGCCTGGTCAGATGGTGTCTTATTTCTGGCCTGGTCAGATGGTGTCTTATTTCTGGCCTGGTCAGATGGGTCTTATTTCTGGCCTGGTAAGATGGTGTCTTATTTTGGTCATGTCAGATTGGGTTTTATTTTTGGCCAGGTCAGATGGGTGCTTATTTTTGATCTGGTTAGACAGGGTCTTATTTCTGGCCTGGTCAGATGGGGTCTTATTTCTGGCCTGGTCAGATGGTGTCTTATATCTGGCCTGGTCAGATGGAGTCTTATTTCTGGCCTGGTCAGATGGTGTCTTATTTTTGGCCTTGTCAGATGGTGTCTTTTTTTGGTCTGGTCAGATGGTGTCTTTTTTTGGTCTGGTCAGATGGGTTTTTTTTCTGTCTTGGTCAGATGGGGTCTTACTTTTGGTTTAGTCAGATGCTGTCTTATTTTGGACATAGTCAGATGGGTGTTATTTTTGACATAGTCAGATGGGTGTTATTTTTGACATGGATGGGTGCTTATTTGTGGGCTGGTCAAATGGGGGTCTTATGTTATAGAAACAGAAGGGACTTGTACATTTGCTTCTTGTCCTAAATATTATCTTCTAATTTGAAAGATAAAGTTGATGGTTTTCACTAATTTGATTGTGGTTTGGTTGAGGCAATAAATATACAAGTTAATCTTTCTTTAAAAAGAAGAGTCCCACATCATTTCTTTAATTGATTCTTATGGATAAAATGGTAAATAGATGTATAAATTTATCATTCATTGATTTACATTATATACATTGAATGCATATCAATGTTTTTATAATACTCAAATTAAAAACAAAATACAGGTTTTTAAAAAAGAAAATGATATAACTTGTGTAGAATAAACAAATTCTTTTGCTCTTTTTTCATATTCAAATGCAGCATTTTGGTATTTAATTTTTATACAAATGTATGCATGTTATTATTACATACATGTTCAAGTATTCACATATATATGTTTTTTTTATTTTTTATTTTTTTTCAGATCAATTTGACAGCATAATGCCTGAAAGTCCAGAGACAAAAGGTCAAGGTCACACACCAATAACCTCCCCAACTCCAATGGCTGGAGGAGTTGTGCCCAGTCTACGAGAGTCATCGAGACCGCACTCTAATAACAACGCAGGTAATTACAAAATTATTCTTCTATAGATATGTACAAAATGTATATCATTAGTTATAGAGATTAATGACAGGTTATATGGCCACATATAAACTGTTGTTTGCATATATAACCATAGCTGCTAGGCCAGGGTTATATTGCAAACAAAAATTTTATTTATTGCCATATAACCTGCCAGGAATCTTTATACCAAATTAAAAATACAGTTAACTTTCTTTTTTTAAGATTTCTTCATAAATTGATATCAGCTGTGTATATTAAACAACATTTAAATGTCACAATTATCAAATAAAAAAAAGAAGTTTCAAACGTACAGTATGATATTATTCATTTCACAAAACTTAAAAAATTCCAGCATTTGCACTATTTGGTTTTAAATATAACTCAATATTGGATCCAGTCTTTTCAATTCAGCCTTGTTTTTTCATATATTTTTTTTTTAACTCCATTTAGCCAAGTTTGTATTTTCCAATTACAAAAATCAATGTCATGTCTTATTGCACTGAATGTAACATAGTTCATCAAAATGTGTGTGAAATAAAGAGGTAGATCGAGATCATTACATTAAATGGGAACAATACTGATTCTATTGCACTCAAACATGTCATCAGATTTGCCTTGTGCCTTGTCCAATATAGGTTTGACAGCTATGAACGCCAGTCCTTGTCCTGTAGAATTCAGTATTGTACTCAATAATGTATAATAACCTCATAATATATATAAATACATGACTTTAAACAAGACCTGTTCCAAAAGAAGTTTTAAATTTTGTTCTGAAAATTGATTTTGAATATTGATCACTTTTAGGCAATTTTAAATACTACTAATGCGCTTGATTGCCCTATATGTTTGATAGGGGAATCAAGTGAAGTGTTAGAATAATGAATATTGCACATTATTTAGAATAGAATGCTTGTCTGCATGTTAAAAGGAATATAGAAAGTCAACTCCAAATAAAAGGATATGACTTAAAAAGACAAGTCACATCATATGAGGTTATAATACATTGTTGAGTACAATATGGAATTCTATTGGACAGTTCAGTTGCACAGCAGTCAACCTTTATTGGACAAGGCACTAGCCGAGTCTGATATAGATTTTGCAGCTGTGTATGAGTCCAATAGAATCAGTTTTGTTCTCAACAATGTTTGATGACCTCCTTATTGTACATTTTTGACATTTTCTCAAAACAGTGTTGTTTCCAATACTATAAGAAATGGATATGAATTTTTTTACCCTGGAAAAAAAAAAAGAAAAAAAGAAGCTTGATGGAGTAGGATATGCATCTAGATATTTTGGACTCTGAAAATGAAACTTAGGGTATGATATGAATTTCATAAAGATTTTTTGGACTCTGAAATTGGAAGTGCTATATGGGGTGTAATACATGTATGCATTTAATATGGATGGTTATGGATTCTGGAAATGAAAATGAGGCTAAAGATTGGATCTGATAATGATTTCTATTGGAACATGATAGTATCACATGGTTCAAATGCTGAAGGTTCATTGGTTATATTTTATAAGGTGTGAAATTAAATGTTTTATTGATAAGACCATAATATTTATCACCAAGTCATATCTTTGGCGGTACTGTATTAATTTTTATTTCATTGATGCTTGCCAAAATAATTTTAGAACAATCCTTGTATATGTGAAATTATTCGGATAAGTGCGCAATGACAATATTTCAGTGAGACCCTCAATATGCTGAAGTCACTCTGGCCTTTTCTACTTAAATTTGTAGAGTAAACTTTCTCTTCTGTCTAAAGGAAATCAAAATACTAGCATTTAGCTACGTGCCTATTTAGATTGCTTGCGTGTGCTCTTCAAACTGTTGATGTCATTTTAGAATGTGTTAATGAAAGAACGTCAGGCATTTAAGAAATAGATATACATATTAATGAATATATACGTCCTCACAGGTTTGTTTGCTACGAAGATGGGAATGGATTGATTAAAAAATAGGATGATTCTGTTGTAACAAAGATGTTTCCGATTTGTTGATACATATTAACACCTCTTTTACATACGTACTTACACTATATGTATAAATAAGAAGGAAAAGTAGGGATTACGCTAGAAATTCACTTCCAAAGCACTGGACAGACGGCATATTTGAAGAAATTTTGTTGCTTAAAAAAAATTTTTTTTAATAGTTGTGGAATATTTTTCATTTTCGTAAAAAAAAGAAAGATGATGAAGTTAGGTGTAAATCGTGAGTTATACACCATGAATGGTAATAAGATGTGAATTAAATAAATTTTTTGTTTTTTATTCATTTTTTTCTTCTTTTCATTGCATTTAGATTTTTTTCACACGTTTCTTTGTTTCGTGTTAAAATAAATACAAATGTTAAAAAGACAAAAGTGATTGAAATATTTATTCAGAATCTATTCTAAATACGCTTTTTTTTTAATCAAGAAGAAAACAGTTGTAAGTTTTAATTGAAAAATATTATAAAAAGAAGAAACTACAAGAAATCTCAAAAATATTCTGCGCAGTGATTTTTAAAAAAAAAATGATTTTCAAACCCGACATTGCAGGAGAACATTCTCCAGTCCCTGCGGGATTGATGAACGGTAGGATGCAGACGTCACCGACGGTTCAGATGTCATCGAGTCAACAGTTACCGCCAGCCTGTGGGGCACGACAACTCAGTAAGCTGAAGAGGTTTTTAACAACCTTACAACAGTTTGGTTCTGACATATCGGCAGAAATTGGCGAAAGGGTTCGAGCCCTTGTGTTGGGATTAGTAGTAAGTGAATTTATTAATTAAAAAAGAAATTATATAATAATATGATTAATTGTACGCAGTTTTACTTATGGCAAATCTGTAATGAATGAACCTGAAGTTTATTATTAACAGGAAATATTGTTACAAATTACCTATGAAACAAAATTTGCTTTCCTTTATTTGAAAGTATATTGGTTTACTTATGCTTTAAAGGTTTGTTCTTTAATATTTCAGAATTCCCATCTTTCTATTGAAGAATTCCACTCCAAACTGCAGGAGGCCACAAACTTTCCACTACGACCATTTGTAATACCTTTCCTCAAGGTAGGTGTTTTAATTCATTAGTTGCTATAAAGATGAGGCTACTCCCCAGTATAGAACCAGGAATACTCCCTTAGTTTTACATTTAACCAGGCCTACTTTCCCAGTTTAGAGGGAGACTTACTCTCCTAGTTATTGAATAATACGTTCTCTCTCCATTTAGAACTGGGCCTACTCTCTCATTTAAAAAGTCAGACCTACACTCCCAGTTTAGAACCAGGCCCACTGCCCTTAGTTTAGAACCAGCTCTACTCCCCCAATTAAGAACCAGGCCTACTCTCCCAGTTTAAAAGAGTCAGACCTACAACCAGGCTTACTCTCCCAGATAATGGATCAGACCTACTCTCTCAGTTTAGAGTCAGACCTACTCTCCCAGTTTAGAACCAGGTTTACTCTCCCAGTTTAGAACCAGGTTTACTCTCCCAGTTTAGAAACAGGCCCACTCCCTCGATTTAGAACCAGGCCTACTTTCCCAGTTTAAAAGATTCAGACTTACAACCAGACCTAGTTTAGAGCTAGACCTAATCTCCCAATTTAGAACCAGGCTTACTCTCCCAGTTAAAAGAGTCAGACCTACTTTCCCAGTTAAAAGAGTCAGACCTACTCTCCCAGTTAAAAGAGTTGGACCTACTCTCCCAGTTAAAAGAGTCGGACCTACTCTCCCAGTTAAAAGAGTCGGACCTACTCTTCCTGTATAGCTAAGACTGCTCTCATCTTCTTCACTATTCTTTTGGCAATTTGATTGTTAATTCCCTTAAACTTGAAATTGACATATTCAAAGACAAAGCAGGACAGACAGTTGTATAAGAGCTAATGATATTCATGTCATATTTCATTATTAAAAAATATCTTGTGACAAATGTTGAGTTCATTAAATGATAAAAGAGGTGATTTAATTTTCCATTTAAAGGCACGGAAATATTCCAGTAACATGCCTATTTCCAAGAATTACAATAGAAAGACCATTCTGAATTTGACAAAAACAGCTCGCCCACTGATGCCATCTGGCAGGAAAACATATGTTCTTATGCATGTACAAGCTGCAGCATTTTCCTATCACCATTAACTGATTTCCTTAAAGAAATCATTATTTATTGGAAAAAAAAGAGGTATTAAGCCATTATCACATGAACTTTGTCACAGGAGTGATATAAAGTCACTGTATGAAAACATATATTATTTTACACTAGTGTAACAACAACTTGACAGGAACTCATTTGCTTTATATGCAAATATAGTGTAAAACGCACTAATGATAGCGTTACACTATAGACATGTCAATTAAAAATTACTCTTTTTCTTTTGAATGTAAATCTTTCTCATTTTAGATATGTGATAAATTGATATTATACTATATTTTAATTTACTTGTTGAATAAAAACAATATCATGCTGGCCAGAGGCTCACATAATATGACTATTCTAACCATTTAAGAACTTTAATATTTGAAGTTAATCTAACTGTTATGCTTTCCCACCAAAAAATGTTTAACATTGGCCAATATCCTAATAAATCCGCCATTTCCGGAAAGTTACTTTTCACAATCTTTGGTATGCAATTATTTTTTACCATTTATAACTGAAATTTAGTACAAAGCGATAAAGAATGAGTGATTGTAAATAATCAAATGCCCAAGATTTTGAAAAAAAAAAACATTCTGGAGAAAACCGTTTGCTATGATATTCGCCGATGTTAAAATTTTTTGGAGGGAAAGCATTACAGTAAGACTACCTTAAATCTACACTTATTTGTCTATATCCTCCATTTATCCTGTAATATTCTTGTTTCCCCTGTTTTAACCCTTAATTTGTATAATGGATTTGCCCATAGTCCATTTCTGGAACAGTTCATTTGAAGTTTAAGGGATTACAATATCAAAATACAAAAACTTTGCTACCAGCAGTCAGACTGAACAGAAATGCAAGGGAGATAATGTCTTAGAATTAAATTAAATTTATTACACTTCAGGGTCCATGTTTTTTATGTCACTTTTCAAAGTTACTATAATATTACTATTTCATTTAAAAGAATTGGTTAGGGTAAATAAATAGAGAAAACTTTAATACTTGAAATATTATTTCCTTAATAACAAACATTTTGTTTGATATAAAAATCATGGTAACAAACAATTTTTATGGCATTTTTTTTTTAAAATACAGATGTATGACATAACCTATGATGTAAACAAAATGGGTTGTATAACTGAGTGCTAATTACAATATTACAGTTTATAACATAAGTGTTAATATAATACAGACATGTATTTATTTGTTTGTGAGATGGGAAAGTCTTATTAATATACTATACGGAACTGATCAATACTGAAAGACTATTGAAAATTTGTGAAAACTTATTATTATACCATCATGTATTTATTTGTTTGTGAGAGGGGAAAGTCTTATAAATATACTATATGGAATTGATCAATACTGAAAGACTATTGAAAATTTGGTTAAACTTAATGCCACACATTGCCAAGGCAGATGTCACTCAATGATGTTATGTCACTTCCCTGTTTAAATATATGTGTGTGTATGATTAAAACCCTGAAGAAGCCTGAAAGCTATGGCAAATTCAAATAAGCATTTTTATTCATATATAAATGAGAGAATAGGAGAAGGGGAAAGTACAACTGTATTGAATTTAATTATCTCCCTTTGTATAATACTTTATCTGTCTAAATTCATTGTATCTTACGGATCTACTTGATCTCGCGGATCCAGTTGACTTTCAGAAATAGATATATAGTTCTCTGGTCCCATTGCTGTCTTATGGTAACTCAAGTGTCTTACACTTTGTATCAGAGGGGGGTGAGGAGAAGGGTGGGGCTTAAAGAGGATAGTGTCTCTGAAATCAAATCATCTATCCATTACCCCAGCAGATTCAAATCCTGCCTGGAACTTTGAATTCTTTTCTATGTGAGAAAGCATGAAACACAGTTAGCTTATGAGAGACTGATGGTTTCTAAATGACGTCTTTCGTCACCATTAAAATTGAAATATTGTCATGTAACCATTAAAGACTCTATGTGGATGTGACCTGTAACCTAACTAAATATAGTTTCATGTCTTTTAATATTATAAGCAAATTTAGACCAAGATAAGCTCCTGGAATCGGATAAATATAATTTTTTCTTATATCTGTTATGTATAATCCATACATATAATGCTTAAATAATTAAAATGGCACTCTTATTTGACAGGCAAATCTACCATTGTTACAACGAGAACTGGTTCACCTAGCTCGAATGGCAAAGGAGACTCCACAAAACTATCTCGCCCAGAATGAACATATTCTGTTCAATGCAACACAATCTCCAATTGAATCTCAGGACAATTCCGCCCCACAGATAAATGAAAATGGAAAACGATTGTCCCCTGAAACGTAAGCATATAGATGAATCATGTTTCATTTTTGTTTTTTTCACCAATTCATTTTATAGGAAACAGAGTGTTTATTCTGTGTTTAACAATAAAAATCTACTCCAGCTTATTAAATGTTGTTTTTTTTCGCAGGGGAAATAATCTGGTTTCAAATGGGGAAAGGGGAAAGTAGATAAGACCTTACATGCTACTTGTCCTTCCGTAGAAAATTAAGTTCCGTTATGTCAATATTTTGTGTTATTTTTATTTTAGACGAGGGCATGAAAATGGCCTAGACCCCCTCCCTGCTAAACGACACCAGCCCACAAGTCCACATGGACCGAACAGAATCAGTCCAAATGGCATTTTAAATCTTTCAAATGGACCAATCAGGTTGGAGGATATAAGTATCTCGAGAGAACTCAGGGAACGGGAAAAAATAGAGCGTGAACGTTTAGAAAAAGAACGGACTGATCACAGAGACAGAGATTTTGATAGAGAGCGGCATTTTCCATCGTACAGTATGTGAAACTAATACTTTAATTATGGTTTTGAAAAGAAATTTAAGATTGAAAACTGTAATGAAACTATTCTAACGTTAAGAAAATCGTCAATTAATTCATATGATTGTGAACAACTTTGACCTCTTTCAGTATTTTTAAGGCGTAACTTCTTTAAATTTTGTGTTTAGTTTTTATATATATATACCGGTATATAAATTATATATATATTTTTCTTTATTTTTTTTTCCTTTTTTCTATTTTTAGATTTTGGTCGCTCTGAATCTTCATTTGACCCACTTGAAAGGTTTGATGATGATTGGAGACACGTAGAAACTGTAAGTATAAATACAGAACTTTTACATGCAGATTCACAATTAAAATTTCATTCATTAGTGCTCTTTGACCAGTTTGCATGTTTATATGTATAATATATATTTATTATTTTTCGATTATTAATAGTTTCGTATCGGTTGCCATTATTGCAATAGCACTGAAGTGTTAGTTGTTATTTCTAGGGAAGTGCATGGTACAGCACCCGCCCTGTTACCAAGGCAACCCTGGTTCTGTTACATGGCAGGTGTAATCATAATAATGACTTTATATAAAGAGGCAACACAGTTTGGCAAACCGTGTCTTCCCTATGAGCCTAATAAGTGTAAAGCGGGACCACATTTTAAAGGTTTCATTTGAAAGACCATTAGTTTTGTGGATAAGTGAAGGATTGAACTTGAACCTCAAATTTTTATATAGATTGACTTAAAAAAAAAAGAATTAATGAAAGAGTCTTCTTGTGTCTTTTGGCCACTTAGATTTTATAATTGTGACCATGTAAAGAAACATATATCACATATGATGAGTTAGTTTTTTGTTGTTTTGTTTGTTGTGTAAGGAACCATTACGTGCTATTCAAAATGAAAAAAAAAGAGATGAACTTTACCATTTTTCTAAAAGGATTGAATGTTGACTATGTGTTAATATTAATAGAGTATTCAACTCTATATCTTTATATTTATTGGCAATATATTTGATAAACAAGAAGCACCTTGTAAGTTATGACAGCATTGTATATATGTGCTAATTGAAACATTTGTTTGGAACAAAAACAGGACCGGTTTTATGCAGGTACTGACTATTTATATAAGTTTTAGAATAACTTGTATACGTGACAAATGAAACGTACACACCAATCCTATTGACGTTCTTCTTTTAATTTTTTTTCTATTTTTTTCTTCTCAGTCTGGCTTTTTGTACAAAGAAAAGAAAAAAAAATTCACCCGATCTTTAGAAATTCAGAAACTGAAAATGGTTGTTATGGTCTAAATATAGAAAAAAAAAGATGCACCAAGTTGTTATTGAAATAATGAATTTGAATGTTTATTTCATATTTTTAGATGTTAAACTGCATTATTGGAATGGTGGATAAGACCCGCCGGGCATTATCGGTCCTCCAAGAGCGTAGCTTACGAGATCGTGAAGAACTCTCTATGTGGATGAGACGAGGCGGTGGTGAGGATGCCGATTTGAAAAAACGCAATCCTGAATCTTGGTTAAACATGAGAAATGCAGATGAAAGAATTTCCGATGTACGACGACGTGCAGGTATTGTGTTAAAGTTTTTTTATTTTTTTTTAACTTTTGTACTTTTATTTGCACATATGCATGACTAAATGTGTAATTTTGACAATTGAATGGACCCTTAAAAAAAAAGAAAAAGCTACTTAGTTCAAGGTTGTGATCATTAATTTTTAAAGGGTTACCCCTTAAACAATGGAACTACATGTACAAGTATATTTATAGAACTAAAAAAACTTAAAAATGACATCATTAATGCCATTTACAAATTTTTACCCTTGTATCTTTTTCCTTTGTTAGAAGAGGCTGTACAGGAAGTTAAGAGACAGGCGATGTTAGAGTTACATAAAGCAGTTGCTGCAGCTGACACGAAAGCGAATGAAATGGTCAGTCAGGAGCGCGCAAAGATGGAGCGCACTGTTCAAGATATTCGGAAGCAGACGCGAGAAGAGGTGATTAGCAGCATCAATCATCAGGAAGAAAGTAGTGAGGTCATTATTTACACATTAAACCTTTTACCTGCTGAATTTGTGTAATGGATTTGTCCAGCCTTGGATTAAGGCTATTCCATTTAGAGTTGAAGGGATATTAATATGAAAATACAAAAAGAAAAAGTTACTGACTGTATAGAACCTGGTCAGAATGCACAGATGTGTAGGCTGGTCTAGCTCTATACTTGTGGCAAAGGAAAGGCTAATCATTTTGAAACAGGGCAATGTTTTCCATATTCAGATCACCTTTTTTATCATAGATTGGAACATCTTTTGGGACCAAGTGGTTCAGGTCACTTTGACTTTGTCTTTGTCATCTATGCTGAGAGTTCAAATCCTAACTAGGAGTTTTAAAGAAAATTCTTCATCTATTCTGGTGGATCTGCTAGTCAGGGCTACTACTACAGGAGCCCACTGGTCTTGTGCCTTAAATATTACCCCATCTGTGGTCTTCCACCACCATTAAAACTTAAAATGCCTTATGGCTTTAACTCTGTTGATATCATTTATAACCTTGTGATCTTAAATAAACAAAAACCTCCTTAATAACCTGCCTGAAGTGTTATGTGCCGATTTTCAGTTGAATAATCCTGACTGCCCTGTTCTGACCTGTGTCAGGATTTTTTGGTGCTTCGTACTCAATATCCCATTGAATTTTGTAAACTAGTGTACATTTCTGGGGATTTTGGAATGATTTCTTTCTTGAAACATTATTTTAATTTGAGAAATAATCCTTAAATAGCAAATATTGTGGAATTTAATTAAAAGATTTTGATGGCCTTTGGTTTTTGTTTTATGTAGTATTTGAGCAGGCTAAAAAAAACAATTATAAACCGTGCAGTTCCTTACCTAGTTAGAATTAATGAGATAACATGCACCTTTCATATAATATTTTTACATACTGTAGCAAAAACTTTCATGCAGTCTGACCAAAGTCTATCTTGTAGGCTACTCAGTCTAAAGTATAATTTTAATATTGGAATCTTAGTAACTCACTGTTTTAAACGAGGAAATGCGCCCTGTTACACGAGTTCAAGGTTGTAGATATGAAACTATGAGTTAATTAGTTGACTTCAGAAGCTTGATGTACTGTATAAATTGATTATTTGAAGTTTTTATCGTGTAAAAACGGCTGTGTTCATATCAAGTTTTCCATGGTGTAACATGTGTTGTATGCTTTTTTTCCATCTGTGTTCCAAACCAATCTATATCAGCATTATCATTTATGTATTTTACAACACACAGTGCAAGCTGTCAACATAGCCCTGAAATTGTTATTGAAAATTTGGACAGTATGGTGTAGATTTTAGGCCTTATCAACAAAAGTTACGGGGCAGGGGGGAGGGGGAATAAGCACAATAAAATTGTTCATAAAGGACTATACTGATATGAGTCATTCAGAATATAAGAGCAGTGTCCTTTTTTTAACATATCTACTTTGAAAATGAAGAGATATATAAGAGCAGTGCTCTTTTGTTTTGTTATTTACTTTTCAACTTTGAAAATTAATTTCTACTTTGAAAATTAAGAATAAAGATTCTTAATAATGTTTGCTGTAAGCTATGTTAAAAATAAAGTGCATGTCTTAAATTTTTGGCTATTTATATTTACTGAAGTTATAAGAAAAATTACAGATATGTTTATATACTTTTTGCTGTAATTCAGTATTATTTTCATTGTTTTATTTCTGCTTTATTTGAACAGAGTTGCTGGAATTGTGGCAGGAAAGCTAGCGAGACTTGTAGTGGCTGTAACACGGCTCGATACTGCGGCAGTTTTTGCCAACACAAAGACTGGGAGAATCATCACCACGTTTGTGGTAAAGCATCATTATCAACCCTGTCACAGACACGGGACACGCCCCCACAAACTGTATCCCTATCTTCCCCACAGGTTCCCAGCAGCCCTCATCCTCATAATTCCCCGAGCCCAGCTAACTCAGTAACTTCTGTTAAATCGGTGTCAAGGTCAAGCACGCCAGCAGACGTAAAGCAGACGGAGGCTCGAGCTGCAGAAGTTAGCCGTTAGGCAGACGCAAAAAATATTTTGGCCTAGAAATACTATTTCTTTCACATATTGACTTGAATTCATTGAATGTTGTTTTGTTATTAATGTTTTTTTGTGTGCTAAGATCTTTATTGAAATGAAATTAAGAGTGTCATTTCAAAAAAATCATATTCGCACTGAACAGTTGTCATGTGATATTTTATTTTTTTCATTATTGTCTTTGTCTGGAGATAAGAATTGAATTATTTACTCTTTAAATTAACAGGATTCTGTTGAAAATGTTTTTGTTGTTTTATGCATACTAAACAAGGGAAAAACTGTTAATAAATTAAGCATAATATTCAGTGCATGTATATTAATGATGAAAATTAAAGGAGCTCCACTGAGGTCAAAAAATTTGAAAGTCTTACACAGATTGAAAAGCACTTGTATTGGAAAAATCTGAAAAGGCCAATCAAAAATCAGCTAAGCATTAAAATAAAAATCATTTTTTTGTGCAACTTTAAGTTTTTGGGTCATTTTGCACTATTAAAAAAGTTGATTTTGGAAAAACAGGGTGAGCAAATGATATGAAAATTTGCACATAAGTTAGTCCAGACCTTCATCAAAGGATGCAGAAATCTCAGAATATAATTTCCAATCCTGTCAAGTGGAAAAACCTCAGTGGAGTCCCTTTAATAATAATTTTTATGAGAATATTAAAATATGCCGGGTTAGAGTGCAAATGATATTTCTAGTTCTAAGTAATAGACTGAAACCAAATAGAATTCTATAGAAATGAGATTTAGCTCAAAGTATAGTGGGGTTTTTTTTCATCTAAATTAACATAATTTTCTCATATGTTTAAAAGAAGAGTTTTAAAACCTTTTTTTTCTGTTTGTTAATAATAAGATTTTAATGGTTGATTCAAATTTGTCTGTGTTAAGTTGACCACATTTTTTAAATAATTTCTACTAATGCTTGAAGTTGACCTATATAAAGGAGTTGTGTAAATTCTGGCTAGATTCTTTGATAACAAAAAGGGAAAGACTATATAATAATTGCGAGATGAAAATAATAGAGCAATAACTCTGGAGGTTCCTAGTTAAGACTTTCACGAACAGAAAAAAAGATTTCAAAGGACAAGAAAAATATATCATATCTATTGAACTTTAAGAGGTTTAAGTTATCTTATGAATAGGTAATAGCCAGTGTGCTCTCTGTAAGTCTGTTTTGGAATAGAGATTAAGTGATCGCAAAAGACAAGAAAAGTATTATAGCAATGAGACGTATTGTAATTTTTTAATGAGTGTACAAGTGTTTTGGGGTAGAGATTATTTTTTTGCATATTTTGTAAACAAGTTGTGGAGTAGAGATTATTTTTTTTGTCTCGTCTGTTTTTAACTTTTCAATGTTTGATCTCAGTTTTAATTAAGTTATAATTTGAGCCATGTCACGACAAAACCAACGTTATGCGTTTGCAACCAGCATGAATCCAGACCAGCTTGCACATCCGCGCAGTCTGATCAGGATTCATGCTGTTCGCTTACCAACTCTATTACAAGTAGAGAAACTGATAGCGAACAGCATTGATCCTGATCAGACTGCGCAACTGCGCAGGCTGGTCTGGATCCATGCTGGTCACAAACCCATTATGTTGGTTTTGTTGTGACATGGCTCAAATTTTTTCTTCTATTGGTTTAGTCTTGTGTTTAGTTTGCATGGTGAATTTTATTAGACATTGTCTTCTGGTGTACTTTATTTCTGGTTGCTAGGGTTTTTTGTCTTGGTGAAGTAGGTAGGTCTGTATACTGTACTTGGTCTGTAAAATTTGTAAATCTCAATGATTTATTAATTTAGTATAGTTTGGTAATCTTTCAGATTTTTTATTGTTTTAAGAAACGAGAGCTTTGTTAATGAATTCAAGTGTATCTTAAAATCACAATGCTAAACTTTCACCCATTTGCCTTCTTAATACAACAAGAAAGAACAAGAAAAAAGTAGAATTATGGAGTTTGATGTATTTTTCAGGAATTTTTTATGGTTCTTAATAAAAATAACAAAAACATGGGTATTGTTTGAGTTAATTTCAGGTTTTGAAAAAATATTGATGTATTGAAAATGAACTAATCTAGTTGACTCTTAATAAAAAATAAAATCCGCCATTGGGGAATAAAAGCCCCCCACTTTTCGGCCTTGTCTCCCGATCTCCTGCCGTGGGATCGAATTCCAAACATTTTAGATAACAAATTAGAATTACTTATCTGGTTAACAGTAACATCGCTACATTAAAGGTTAATTGCATTAGATTACATGTAGTTGGGATTTATAGAGATTCTTTTCCAAACTTAACGTTTAATTTTAGTAATATATTTTAATACTTCAAACAAAATGCTTTAAATTTTTTCAACAATTCCATTTTAAATTTATACAATGTTGACGTAGTTTATTGTGAAAAAAAAATATGTTCAAACAAACAATAATATAACATGTTCAAAATATTTTCTTGAAATTTGTTCAAAATGTATTTATATACAATAAATATTTTTGTTCAATGAATAATACTTTTAACTTGGGACCTTTAAGAAAATTTCAGCTAATATTTATACACCTTCTGTCCATTAGGACTCTCATTTGAGGACTTATATTAAAATCATTTTCAGACACAAAATGATGCAAGATACATTCTAATATTTGTTAATTCTGTATGATTTTTATTTTTTGTTATGATGTAATGCATTTATGCTGGGATGTGTACATGTATGATGCAATTTCTGTTCAAAATTTTAGTTTTGTTTTTGTTCTTTTTTTTTTCTTTCACATATATTGTTACATTGTTCAAATGCACTGTTCAGTTTATTTGTCACGTAATTCTGTGCCAGGGCAAAAGCAGAATATCTATATTTCATATTTTGTAACCAGGTAGACTAGTTTTGCTCCGACATGTTGATATTTTAATATTGTACAATTGTTCTTGTTGAATTGCAAAAAGTGCTACAGTTTATAACATTTTTTGTTTTGTCTTATGAACAGAAATCGGTTAAAAACAGAAAATTGTTGAACTCCTAAATATTGTTACACTGTGGATTTTCTTCTTTTTTTTTCTTCCTTATCTTTTTCTTTCTTCAATTTCTACCTCTGTATAAATTTTTGTTCTATTTTCTTTCTTACTTTATCTTCACTTTGGATATCTCCAAAAATTTGATTATGAACACTTCCAGAAATGGGAGCTGGACCTGTCCATTCAAGAAATATAGCCAGGGTCTTTCAAAATACAATATAGGAATTAAAGACCCTGATTTAGCATATTTAAGGGTAAAAAACATTATTTTACAAAGAATTTTTTTTTTAAAGTTAGTAAGGGGTACTTTAGTTTTAATAATGTTTTAGTGTGGGATTTTTGTGACTTTCACTTTAATTGAGCCGTGTCATGACAAAACCAACGTAATGCGTTTGCAACCAGCATGGATCCAGACCAGCCTGCGCTAATGCACAGGCTGGTCTGGATCCATGCTGGTATGTTGGTTTTGTCATGACGCAGCTCTTATATATTGTTACAATCACAGTGATACATGTATGGTAGTTTATATATTGGTTATTCTATAGCATGTAAGTATAGCAAGCAGTACAGAAGTGAACTATTTTACCCTTGAACCTGCTGAATTTATGTTATGGGTTTGCCCTGCTTTGAATTTGGAACAGTCCATTTGAATTTTAATGTATTTCAATATCAAAATTCAAACATTGAGCTACCAACAGTGTAGTGCCTGTAGTGCGACTGCAGAGATGTGTAGGCTGTCCCTCGATAGTCAAGACTGCAAAGAAGTGCAGGCTGACCTGACTATAATCAAGACTGCACAGATGCCCAGGCTGGCCTGGCTATAGTCAAGACTGCACAGATGCCCAGGCTGGCCTGGCATTAGTGAAGACTGTACAGAATTCCAGGCTGACCTGGCTATAGTCAAGTCTGCACAGAATTCCAGGCTAGCTATATATGGACTGTTGAGAATTCCAGGCTGGCTTGGCTATAGTCAGACTGCACATAATATCAGGCTGGCTAGACTGGCCTGACAATAGTCAGACTGAACAGAATTTCAGGCTGGCCTTGCTATAGTTGGACTGCTGAGAATTCCAGGCTGGTCTGGCTATAGCCAGACTGCACATAATTCTAGGCTGCCCTGGCTATAGTCAGACTGCTAACTGGTGGCTTATGCAGATCACTTGCAGGTCCAGCAGGGTTTGGGTTAAATATAGAACTTCTCACTTTAAGTGCACCATATAGAAATTTGTTTCCTTATTGTAAGGGCATCAACATAAAATGTTACTTATTCTTGATAAGCTTAATAAAAATGTTTTATTTTGAATAAAAACTGAAGAATATTATTAAACATATAAAAGAATTATGTCCACACAAAATTTTGCCTAGTATTTTAAACAAAATGAAGACAAGAGATCTTTTGATTTGATTTTTGTGCCATTTGATCATCGCATAAATGGTCACTTATAAATATTCTGTTTTAGACCAAGATGAAATTATTCAAATTACATTTTAGAATAGGTTATCCGATTGGGTAACTTGATTTGATAATGACCAATGGTAGAGGAGCTTTAATTTCAGTTTAATTTTGAGGCTTTGGTACCATTTTATTTTTATTATTTTTATTGAAATTTAGTTACAATAGAGTAAGTTTTACACAAAATCCTGAATTGAAAACATTATAACCCTAGCCTATGTTGAAATTATTCAAATAAAATTTTAGACCAATCCACAGCTTTAGCGCCCGAGAAGATGTGACTGATTTGAAAATTGAGAAATGGAAGAGCTTTTAATTTCAAAATATGTACCCATTTTGTTAGATAAGATCATTGGGCACTGATAAAATATCACAATATTGTTCTTTATTCCAGTAAAACAAAAGTTTTACTGTTAGGGTAAAAGAAATTTTCATTATGAATTATCTCGTAAAGTATTTCATTACGATGTTGTTGTCATTATTTTGTGTATGTGGTCTTCACATATTAAAAAAAATAAAATACTCATAACAAAACTCAGTGTTTGTTATAAATTATTAAACATCCCCTATCTTTGGTACGACTGCCCCATTTTGTATGTAACATCTCGAGATGTTCAACTTGTTCCGATTCGTCCGCTTTGTTTCGATTCATCCCCTTTGCTAAATATGGAGAGCATTGGCTTTGTAGTCCAAGATTTGATCCCCAAGATGAGGCATTAATCTCTATGTCACAATTCAGAAATATGTGAGAATAGTAGTCAGTCACTTGCTGGGTAATTGGTAATTACTGGTTAGTTATCCAGAAAAGCCTGTCCGAAGTTAGGTGAATCAACCGATTAGAGATGACCAAAAATGTGTTAAAATCTGCATAAATAAAAAAAAATCCAGATAAACTTGTTTGGAAATATTATTTTACGTTCAATTATGTATTGCAGCAGAATTAGAGGGAAACTGAAATATAGGTAATAGAAAACTAGACCTTCACCTAAAGAGACAGATCACTGTGGTTTTCATCAAATCCTCATCCCAAGATGTGGTTTCTTAAGGTTTTAAATCCTTGTGCTTAATATCTTAACAAAAATATCTTTTATCATGGCACCTATGGCTAATAGCAAACTGAATTTCACCATGGACTTTTGGGAAGCTATCAGGAAGTCCTTGATATTACTTTGGTGCCCACTCATGCCTGATGCAGTGCATAGAGAGGGGCACCCATGGTCTTCCTCTACAACTAAAGCTAGAAAGTCACCATAATTGTGATCTTTTCAGTGTTGATAAAAAAAAGTTAACATTAAATTTTGTAACTCCAATGTAGGCTCCACCATGTTAAAATATATAAACATGTATAAAAAAAAGGCTGTAATATCAATTACCGGACTAAGTATCTGAAATGGAATTGCCCTTTTTTTCAATCTAGCCAAATCCATTCACATTTTTAGGGAACATTTCAAAATGTGCAGTTAACTTGATCATGTTGATACAATTTTTTGAAAGTTACGGGTAAAAAAAACCTTTTCCCGGCCTCATTTTGGCTTAAAACCCCGCAGAAGAATAGAGTTTTCATGGAAAGTATCACACACCCTATATCTAACATATTGGTCAATAGATGAGGAATGACATGAAAGTGTAAAGGGAAGCAGGACAAACTGGCCATTAAAAGTTTTCTCATCTATCAAAAATATTTCAAGAAGCTTAATTTTGCATTTTATCAGAATGTATAATTTGGGAAAAAGATATCAATTTTTAGTGCATTGTTGTAGAATTATGCACCATGCATTATTATCCCATTAATGCAAGAAAAATTCATATCTATTTCCATTCTAACATGCTAATAAAAAGGAAGAAACTTGATAAAAATATGTTGAGCTAAATTGAGCGTAGAAGTCATTTTCCTGACGTCTTTTGGTTTATTGACGTCATATGTCATATTGACATCATGACATGTAAGCATTCATTTTTTATGCTGTAGATATATTGTGGGAGCACAAAAAAAAACCAACATTAATTACAGTAAAATAACTTGATTCATTAACTTTCAGTTTATACAAATTACACAAACCTTTATCTTTTGACAGGAGGTGGGGGGGGGGGGGTTTGAGTCGCACCAACACAGTATAGGTCATACATTCCAGCTTTACTGGTACCAGAAGACCTCAGGTGACCCTCTATGCAGGCATGAACGGCACATGAGCACAACCACAACAAGGGTTAAGTCACCACAACTGTCTACAGGAGCTTTGTCATTCAACAACAAATTCCTCTTAGTATCAATATCTAAAAGTAAAGTTTAAAACAACCAGGCTGTGAACCAGTTTCTCAAGCTTGCAAAAAAATAAAAAGTTGAATTAGGTGATATAAAGAGTACAATCCCATATCTATAGTAGCTCTTAAACTAATAACAACAAGGAAATGACAACAACATTCATTAACGGGAAATATTACTTATTACAGTCAAACTTCTATTAGACGACCGTTTTGGGTGTTTCCCTTGCGACCGCGCAAGGGAAACACCCAAAACGGTCGCCTAATGAAACAGTCTCTTAAGACAAAGATTGATAAAAAAGTCAAAATTTACACTTGACATCTTTCTTTTGCGGTGGAAATGTTTTAACTTTATTTATATAAATGTTTATTAATTAGAACGCTTTGATAAGCAAAATGGATGCTTATGTAAAAAAATAACTTTCTGGTATTTATTGACAAATTAGTTTTGATCCATTACGTACATGTTTTACATTTTTCCAGAATTTTTAAACTTCTCCGTAGTATTTCCTTGTCTCCAACACGAAAACCCTGATAAGTGAAGCTTTTTTCTGTTGTGCAATTTTCAATTGAAATAAACAAACTACATCTGATTGTAACCATTAATTTAATTGCTGATCAAGTTCAATTCAATGCAGTCTAAATATCAACAGCTAAGCATATACACCATCTGAGTAGGGGCGGAGCGTTGCATTGTTTTATCGATATTATCGGATAATACATGTCGCGCGTATACTTACCTTTATTTGCATACACTAAAACGGTTTGGCAAATAGAGACACATTTATATATTGCATTTTGATTGTTGACACTTGTGACATTACGAGGCGGCATTCTCTAAAAACACAATTACTTGACAGGTAAAAGTGGTCGTTTAATGAAAAAGAGTGATCTCAATTAGCCGACTAATTAGCGGTCGTTGGTCGCGTTGAGCAAAAGTCGCTTAATGCATTAAAGATATAGAGAGAAAATGAAAGGGGGAATTGAAAGTGGCCGCATAAGACAAAAGTCGCTTAATATACGTGGGCGAATGGGCAAGTTAGACAGTAGCAGTTTATCCATTTACATGGATATGAGCCTAGTAAATTTAACACAATTTTTTTTTTCTTCATAAATCAATATATTTATTAGTTATGTTACATATGGACATAATACACAAGGCTATAAGCAAGCAAAGATCTCGTTTTGTATACAATAGTGGCTGCACATACATATAAGCCTCATATCAGACCAATAAAAATTTCTAATTTTATCTTGATAATCCCCAATAATTGTTAATGAATGCTTTAAGTCTTGCTCAAATGAACAATATTTAAACAAGAGGGCCATGATGGCCCTGAAGTCCCTCACCTGTATATAGGCCCCCAGAGAGGGGCCAGTTTAAACCCCAGGGCTTTTATTTGAACAAACTTGGTAGACAAACATGAGAAGATGTTTCATGCTTAGTATCTAAACTCTAGCTATTTGGGTTTTTTTCAAAGAAGATTTTTGCTATACACATATAAGGAAAATCAATGATCCCCAAGGCGTAAAAAGGGGCATAATTCTGTCAAAATGCTTGATAGAGTTACCTCCTCCTGTCTACAGGTTGGGGTCATGATGGTGAACAAGTGTGCAAAGTTTCAAAGCCATATGTCAATGGACTTTGAAAATATTTGAACTATAAAAAACTTTAACATAAGTGGTTACGCCAACGCCGACGCTCGGGTGACTGCAATAGCTCTACTTATTCTTATCGAATAGTCGAGCTAAAAATCAATGACTTCCTGGGGCAGGGCCAATTTTGACCCAAGGGCTTTTATTTGAACAAACTTAGTAGACATCCATTAGAAGATGTTTCATTCTAAATATCTTAGTTCTAGCTCTTTGGGTTCTTTTAAAGAAGATTTTTTAAGTTTTTGCTATACACATAAATAAAATCAATGACCCCCGGGGCTGGGCCAATTTTGACCAAAGGGCTTTTATTTGAACAAACTTTGTAGTCACTCACTAGAAGATGTTTCATGCTTAGTATCTAAACTCTAGCTATTTGGGTTTTTTCAAAGATTTTTTAAGTTTTTGCTATACACATACAGTCAAACGTGTATTAAGCGACCGGGCAAGGGAAACACCTAAATCGGTCGCTTAATGAAACGGTCTCTTAAGACAGTCAGCGTGATATAAAAGTCAAAATTTATAAATGACATCTTTTTTATTCGGTGGGATTGTTTTTCAACTTCATTTTTATATAAATGTTGAAAAAAGTACGCTCCGATAATCTAAATGGATGCAAATGTAAAAAATAACTTTCTGATATTTATTGACAAAACAGTTTCAAGATCCATTACGTACATGTTTGACATTTTTTCCAGAATTTTTTAACTTCTATGTTGTTTTTCCTTGTCTCCAACACGAAAACCCTATTAGTGAAGACGTTTTCTGTTGTGCATTTTTTTTCATTTGAAATAAACAAACTGCATCTATTTGTTACGATTAATTTAATGGCTGATCAAGTTCAAGGTCAATTCAATGCAGTCTAAATGTCAACAAGCGAAGCGTATACACCTTCTCAGTATGGGCGGAGCGTTGCATTGTTTATCCGATATTATTGGATAATACACGTCATGCGTATACTTAACTTCATTTGCATACGCTAAAACGGTATGGGAAATAGAGTTTTTCTCACGTTTATTGTTGTGTTTTGATTGTTGACACTTGTGACTTAACGAGGTGGCGCTCTCTAAAAACACAATTACTTGACAGGTAAAAGTGGTCGTTTAATGAAAAGATTGATGTCAATTAGGTGACTAATTAGCGGTCGCTGGTCGCGTTGAGCAAAAGTCGCTTAATACATTAAAGATATAGAGAGAAAATGATCGGGGGGAATTTAAAGTGGTTGTTTAAGACAAAAGTCGCTTAATACACGTGGTCCCATGGGCAAGTTGGACTGTATAAGGAAAATCAATGACCCCCGGGGCGGGGCCAATTTTGACCCCAGGGCTGTTATTTGAACAAATTTGGTAGACACCAATTAGAAGATGTTTCATGCTAAATATCTTAGCTCAAGCTCTTTGGGTTCTCTAAAAGAAGATTTTTTAAGTTTTTACTATATGCATATAGGGAAAATCAATGACCCCCTGGGGCAGGGCCAATTTTGACCCCAGGGCTTTTATTTGAACAAACTTGGTAGACATCCATTAGAAGATGTTTCATGCTAAATATCTTAGCTCTAGCTCTTTGGGTTCTTTAAATGAGATTTTTTAAATTATTACTATATGCATATAGGGAAAATC